ACTACTACTCGCCTACTACTACTCGCCTACTACTACTCGCCTACTACTACTCGCTTACTACTACTCGCCTACTACTACTCGCCTACTACTACTCGCCTACTCAGAGTATCCAAAAAACGTTCCTCCATGTTTAAATATTTGTAGTTAGGTGTAATATTCAGCATGAAATGAGGTGATAAAATTTCTTCAACTCACACAGTTCAACGTACTCCACATTCCAGGCGAAGAAAGTCTCGCTAAACAGAATCGACCCAACAWYAATCGATGTTCGCAGTGATCTCTTAGCACTTTCTCCACGAATATACCCAACAGCCCTGCTGATAGTCTGCCGACTGATATACTCACTTCTATATACCCGAGAACTTTTCCAAGTTTCCTGGAATCGAGGAAGAGGTCGGCTGCCAAAGCATAGATGTGGACGTTTRCGCAACCAGCCACTACTCCCTGGGTGAAACACAAGATGAAAATGATGTAGACGTTGTCTGTKTAGTGAAACCAGGAAACTGACAGAAACACTATCACATGACCAACAACCAACAGAAGTAAGATCCAGATACGACGAATCTTAATGGTGTCCAGGAAACGAGGGCAAAAGAAGGACGCGAGAGATAATTCCATCCCTCCGACCATCATGCCAAGATCACTTATGAATCGGTAATACTGATAGTGATCCCGAGGGGGGAAGGGAGAGGATTTGAATGTGACAGTAGAAAGAATGGCAGCAATGGATAACATTAGTAAAAAAATCTCGGTGCCTCGGTAGAAACAGACAAGAAACACATTGAATAGGAACTTGGTTTGACATCGAATGGTAKATTCTTTAGACTTTGTTTTTCCGGACTGAGTGGCTGATTTTAGGTCATTATTCTCTTTGTCGTCCAAAGTTTGATACGCGATGTCCTTTGTACASTTCTTGTAGGTTTTTAATGGTTCTTTATCAAGAAACGCATACATCAAGAGTGGAAACAGAGAAAGTGGACTCAAAATGGCAATAGCATTGCGAGGTGATACGCATAACCACGTTGTCAAACCTGAAAATAAAATAATACCAATTACTTCAGAGTGTTCTAGTGCTAATGACAATTTATTGGGACTAGATAGTTGAAGTACTTCTTCGACAACATTTCCCTTGTAGGTTACTAGAGTTCCTGTCTTGTTGTGACACGAACCTAAAGAAGCCAGATTATCATTAAAAAAACWACTTAATATAGCACATAGAAATGGTAAAAAATCATTGATACCTTGATATCTCTTAGAATATTTAATCAATTGCCTTCAAACGTTGCTAACAGGTATGAGCTCTTTTCATTTATGGGCATGATTTTCTTGTGGCTTGATGTTCGATTTCTGACTTCTATAGACCCCTTGCATGTGACGTCAAAGCAGCTTCATCTGGAGGACAAAACAAAAGATTTTTATCCTCTTGGGAACTAGAATCTATTGTTTTGTCCTCCAGTTGGAGCTGCATTCCCACGAACTGCAAGGGGTCTATACAAATAAGCTAAAAGGTAAACATTAGCGCCCACCGATAGTCCTTTGTACGCTTCACTTGGTGAATCTCGTCAGTCGCTGTAGTRCGTAAAGTACTTTGTTGTTGGAGAATATTTTGGGTTGAGATCCGCAAAATGAAATTTATAAAGCATACCATCTTTTTAGAGTCGACATTTGTACTGTTAACGCGATTTAACTCCATATACTCAATCGCTACACTAAGACATTGCCTTCATGGCCAGCTGGGCATGGCTGCCAAACATCGCGCCAAAAATAATTATTGACTATTGAATTCTCTATAACTTACATTGAATTTAAATACATACCTGTATATGAGACCGAAGCTACAGCTGTCGAAAGATTAATACCACTCGAGTASACWCCAGCGGAKTCACTGTAAAAACCCAACAGCTTCGCCGCAGTGATCATTCCTAAACCATTGGCAAATCCAAGTACACAYATCCCAGCCAGTCTCACGTTAACAATATTGACAAATACAAAAGTYAATTGAACAGCAAAAAACAGGAATGCATAGAGGGTGAATGCTGGCAGGAATGAGATTCGCTCCACAATCCATGGGCTGAGAACGGCTTTGCTAAAGATTTCAGGAACAGTGAAGACAATCATAACAATGACTGTAGCTTGCAAGGAGCCAGCTAAGATATCCTCTGTTGCTATCCACAACAGGACATGAGTTGGGAAATAGATCCATA